TGTCTGTCTGTCTGTCTCACTATTCAGCTCAGACTTGTAGTGATCCTCCTATCTCAGCCTCCCCAGCTCTGGGATTATAGGTGTGCACCACCATGCCTGGTTTCGGTGACCAGCGTGGCATGCAGTACTGGGGATTTAACCTGGGTCCTTGCACTTGCCAGGCAGGTATTTAGACTGCTGAGCTATCTCCCCAGCACTGCACTATCTTATTTTCATTCCACATACTTTTTCTGTTTCCCATCAATCAAATGATATTAGAGTTCCAGCTTGTCAGGTTTCTTGTCACAAGTTCATTAACAAGCAACTAGTTAATGCCATCTTTGATTTTTGCAGGATGTGATCCGTGCCATGAATGTCAACCCCAAGATCTCGTTCCCTCCTGAAGTCGACTTCTGCCTCCTCAGTGACTTCATCCAGGAGATGTGCTGTATTGCTTTTGCAATGCAGTCTTTGGAACCTCCCCTTGATATCGCCTTTGGGGCTGATGGAGAAATTTTTAATGATTGCAAGTAAGAGGCGCAGAAACCCAAGCGCAGGGATTCCTCACTGATTAAGTTGTGTCTCTGTTCCCTGGGAACACTCTAGAGGAAGGAACTCTGGGTGGGAACATCCTTAGCCACCACTTGTTTCCCAGGATGTGCCATGTGCTTTCCTCTGTTCCCTGGCTTCTTTCCCCTTGGGAGGGTAGAGAGGACTACTTGGAAATGTGGAATTTGTGCATCTCACAGACCTCTGTTGGACCTCCTGAGTGCATACATGCTTCAACTAGTGGGGAAAATGTTGGCTTTTGTGCCTTTGGCTGTGTAGTAGAAATTGGAATTCCTAGGAATGATGATGTGATTCAACAGTCAACCCTGTGTAGCATCGGTTTCCCATGGGCAGATTTAGCCAACTAGGTATTGAAAATATTTAGGGAAAACTTTGTTTCTGTAATAGTGAATGTGCAAACACTTTTGTCCTTGTTTTCTCTAAACAATCCACTGTAACAACTGTTTACATGATGTTTACATTACATTTGATGATATAGGTAATCTAGAGATGATTTACAGTATATAGGAGGATTGTGTGGGTTATATGAAATTACAATGTCATTTTAATAAGGGACTTGAGCATTTATAGATTTTGTTATCCTGGAGGGGTCCTAGAACCAAAATCTGTGGAAGGGATCACTACATTTCTGGAACTTCACTGAGCAAATGGAATCCTTTGTCCCCTGCCAGCTTTTGACAGAGTTGAGAAGCCATTTCATACATTAAGGAACTCCTTTTCCTTTGGCTGCATGGCTTTGGCTTTTTTCAAATGGAGTGGGTTAGGGACGTTTTAGAAACAGATCTTTTTTGTTGGACTGTGCTTCATGCTCTGTTGATCGTTCCTTTTAACCAAAGTGTCCACTCTAGCTTGAAGTGACCAATTGAGATGGACTAAGGCTTTTTTAATTCTTAGCCCCTCTCTGTCAGTTCAGCTAGTTTGCAGTTGTTTTTACTTTCTTTTTTAAAGCCTTACAACATTGTTGACTCATTTTGAGTACAACTGAAACATTCTATCTTCAGTTATCCCATGACTAAGCTATATATTTCCTCTATTTGTGCAGTTAAATGCTTTTTAGACTATAATGTATCTGACCTGATTCTATCCAACTATTTCTAGCCTGTTTTATTTTATTTTTTAATATTTACATTTATTTTTCCTATTCACACCCTTACCTTTGAGCATTTTTTAATGTTTTATATACATCACTGATAAAGCGTTTTGACATACAGGATTAAAAGAGCTCTCAGATCTTCACCAGGTTCTTAGCAATCCATTAAATTATTTAAATTAAATCCATTAAAATTATTTCTCTTCAGATATGATCATCAAAAGTGCTTCTAATCCTCTGACTTACCCTACTTAGCCCACCTGTGTTCTTCCATGTTTTCCCACAGAGACAGCAAGAAAAATCTTATAAGAAATCTTAAAGGACTTCAGAAGTCTATGTTGGTAGCATGTCCCTGAATTAGAGCTGTTACGGTCCCAAGAAGGCAAGAAATAAGATTAGTTGACATGTACTGGTGTCCGTGAGTCACTGCTGGGTCGTAGTTACCACTGGTTCCTATTTTAAGAACCGCCACCATCACTTTAATGACAGAATCTGAATCCATGTTTATCTAGATTTAAACATAAAATATGAAATTGTACGCTGAGATTTCCCCCCAGTTATGCTACCTGATTGCTTAACTTCTTTTGATGCTCTTTTGTGCATTTACCACAGGTACCGCCGCAGCTACGACTCGGATTTCACTGCTCCCTTGGTCTTTTATCACGTGTGGCCTGCTCTCATGGAGAACGACTGTGTCATCATGAAGGGAGAAGCTGTCACCAAGAGAGGGGCTTTTGTACGGTGGCCTTGCATAGTGACAATTCATCCCCAGTGTTTGATTCACAAGTTCGAGAACATTTATAAGCCCAAAAATACCATAAAAGAAGTTGATAAAGATTTGCTTGATAAGATATCATACAAAGGAGGAGGAGGAGGAGGTGGCTTTGGAAAGGATAGCTTCTTTCCCTTGGTTCTTCCGTGATTCCTCACAATTAACTGGCAGCCATTTTGTTGTTGCTCTGTTTGTTAGCCCTCATGGTAGTTACGTCCTCCATTTTAGACAGATTATGATACTGTAAGTGCAAAGCTCTCTGAACACATCCTCTTGGGGGCTTTCTGTAATCCCGAGTGTTTAAACATGATCAATTAACTTTTAGGAAACTATTTGCCAGTTTTTATGGATAATTCTCTATTCTGAGAAAATGACTGTACCCTGCTTTTCTCTCCTTTGTACGATATGGAGAAAGAGGAGGGATGGGGAAGAAGGGAGCGAGCTGGCCTGGAGTGAGGAGTCAATCGATTCTGGGAGGCTGCTTCTTACATACTCTGGTTATAGAAGGTGTAGAACATGTCACATAATCGAGCAGTCTTCGTGAGGTTTAAGCATGTCAGTGTGCAAATGGATGCGTGTTGTGGGAATTGTGTGCTGGAACTGGTGGCCCAAGTACTTAGGTAATCTGCATAGTTAATTGAGTATAGTATTTACTTTTGTCTTCCCTAGAAAGGGTAAAGTAGATTCTGAAGGTAAGCTCTGTAGTCCAAAGCCAAGCCACTGTCTGGGTGGTTTGGGCTCATATGCTCTTTGGGGCAGTGCTACATGGCAGCATAGAGTGGAAAAAGGAGTAATTTCTTCGGTGGATTGATTGATTGATTGTATTTGGTATAGGATCTCACTATGCAGATCCAACTTGTAGTGATCCTCCTATTTTCAGCCTCCCCAGAGCTGGGGTATAGGTGTATGCCACCATGATGGTTCTCTATGGCCGGTTCAGTGCACCCAGGGGCGGGGCTGGCACCCCATGTGTTGCTGGGGATTGAACCCCGGTCCCTGTGCTTGCCTAAGCAGGTGCTTAGTCCACTGAGCTATCTTGCCGACCCTCATAGTTTCTTTTTAAAGAATTTAAGAAAAGAATTTTTCTAGTTTAAAAAGTCCATTATAATGAATACTATCTCAATAAAATGTTTTGTCTTATGAAAGTTGAGCCCATTTACATTGGGTTCTTTTGAAAGAACACTCTACATTGAATGATCTCATAAAGTATGCTTTTTGGCTCCACAAAAGTCACTGATTACTGTGAACCTCACCTGCAGTGCAGTGTAGAAGGGAGAGAAAAGTAACAGCTACAGTTCCACTGTCCATCAGATAGGAATTGCCTTTTTAGCTTTCTTCTTCTACCTCATCAAGCGTATCACCATCTGCTGGAGCTTAAATACCCTGGAAGGAAAATACCCTGAAAGGAAGACTGTGGAAAAGAAAAACATTGAATGAGGGGAATCATTTAAGAGGGATTTTACTTGTAAAATCTCATTATAGTGAATAAAATTTCTTTCTTTTTAAAAATAACTTTATTGAGGTTTTATCAGTACACAAAAAGGCCAATGCATATGTGAGATACACAATTTGATATATAATTTTCTCATTTATTTAACTGAAGAATGGATGGGGGCAGTTATATTTTATTCATTTGATTTGATATTTATTTAGTAGTTATTTGTGCCCCAAGTATTTAGGAGCCAGGGGATTTGCCAATGAATGAAACCCATGTGAATCCCTGCCCACATGGCTCTTACATTCTCTACCTCTTGCCACTCACATGCTAGATTCCTAATAGATTATTCATAGACATATTCAGGAATGTAAATGTCCACAAGTTCATTATAGTGGTATTCTATTTGAGAGGCTGTTGCCCCATATTAGGCAGCTTTAGGAATTGAAAGGAGTATAACTCATGCTGATAATCAACCATGGGAAAGTGAAATCCCACCAGTGGGACCTGGCGTTAGGTGACATGTGTATGTTGTGTCAAGTCATTCGGCCTTTGGACACTCTTAACTTTTTCTGTTTTTTTTTTTTTTTTCTTTTAGTGGAATTCGGTGCGTTCCCTAAGTCGATGTCGAAGCAGGAGTTTAAGTCCCATTTACCCTCATAGCCGCATCGGTTTAAGCACGGTACTTATCTATCTAATCATTTTTATACAAACTTTCCTTGGTTGACAATTTGCTTTTGAAATTTTTTATGGTGGATGCCAAATTTGGGAAGGACACAAAAATGCTTAGATATGGGCTTTCCCCTGAGTGGATCTTCCTATAGGAAGATCAGTTAATTTCAAACTAACCTAAACCTAACCCTAACCCTAACCCTAACCCTAACCACAGCCACAGGTAAAAGAGGTGATAATAGGGCTAATGAAAAAAAGAGATCTTGTTACAATAGCACTAACCCGAGATGATTCTCTTTTTTTGTACCAGGAATTGAACTCAGGACCTTGTGCTTGCCAGGCAGACACTAAGCCACTGGACTTTATCTCTGGACCCTCAAAGTCATTTTTATACTACTGTGTGGGCTAGAGAACCTATTATTCTAGAAAGAAAAAGTAGAGTTTTTGTTTTTCTTTTTAGTTAGTTCAAGGAATAATAGGCATTTTAGGCATTTTTTTTAGACCTTATTTTGTAGTTTTATTATCTTTGAATGAAATGGGCTATTAGAGATCCAAACAGAGCAAGGGACTTCTTGGCTGATCTAAGCATAGGTTTTTGGTTCCTCTAGATATTTCTGTGTGAGTTTGGAGAAATTGCTTTAGTGATCTGGATCTCAGTGCTCTAAAAAGAACATTAAAATTATTAATTTGTCCTTAATTTCAAAATAGGAAAAATAAGGTTAGTTTCCTTGCCAATTAGTCCTTGGTGGATTACTAATACTTTCATCAGGTTAAAAATAACAGCAAATATATCTCTGAACACTTTGGAGATAATATCCCTAAAGATACAATGATTCACCACTTTCCGTTTAACAAATAATATTTTGTTAGTGTCTTTGAACACAGGGCTCAGCCAAGACATGTGGATATTGGGTAGATTATTTGTTCTTCCTTCAAATGTAAATTCTTTAAATGTGTATGCAACATATTTTAGAAGACAGACTGGTAAGGGAGAGCGCCATGTGGCAGTGCTGTGCTTGTCTGAAGTCGTCTCTAGCAGTTGCAGCTGTAGCCCTGAAGTGGTAGACCTTGTCAGCAAAACAGCACACCCCCCAGGACCTGTGTACTTAATCAGACCCACTTCTCTGACCCAGTTTAGCAAGCATCTATTATTTTTCCAGCAGGCCTCTT